CTTCCTTCTCTCTCTCTCCCCCCTCCCCTCCTCTCTCTCCCTCCCTCCCTCCCTTCCTCTTTAATCATTCAGGTCCTGACCCATTCTCGCGAGATGATCACATCTCTCTTTCTCTTTCGTCTCGGAGTAGAAGCTCGCTGTAATCACGAGAAGAACGTGCTTATGTAACCAACGGCTCGTGACCGCCAATCGACGTCTTTTTCCGCACGTCGCACTCCGCCGCGACGATTTCCGCGCTTTATTTTTAAAACGATCACTAGTAGTCGGAATGTCTCCATTACGATTACGACAATCGTCCTTCGCAACTTTTAAAGTAGAAAAAAATATTAAAATTAGGAATTATACAGGCCATTTTTCCGGAAAGCTCTGATTTTAATTTTAATTTGAAAGATTTTGCGAATTTCAAAGTGTTATCTGCTGACAAGATGTTTTGTGTTCGATGATTAACGCAAGACACACCTCGTCAAGCAAAGAAACAGCCACTGTTTTTCAGACTATAAGCGATATCGATGCTGCTACTCTTACGTCACGCGCGTTACATAGTAATCGCGTATGTGTGAACATTGTTACCGCGGAAAACATTGATTCACCACGCGTGCAATCTTTTTATAACGCGCATTGATCGCTATTTTTAAACATCTTTAAGGCAAACGTGTTTCTAACAAAATTATAACATTATTTCGTTCATTGATAGACATTATTTCTTACAACATCACAGGTTTAAAATAAGACGAATCGGTACTTTTAGTCCGCGCAAAAATAACATAAAAGTAACATTAAAAAAATTATATAATCTAACAATACATAAATCGCAACTTCGTGATGAAATCCAAAGAATTATAATATATTGTTCGGCTCTCGGATAATAAAATACGATTCACATCTCTCTTTTTATATTACCGTTCCTTTTGACAAATAGCAGTTTTTTTGAAGATTCTTCAAAAAGTAGTGAAAAATATCAGCAACACGTAATCGCGCGAGTAATCGTTCAATGCCGCGTCTTCGACATAAAAAGTCTCGCAAGTTCGCTTATGTAGGCACGATTACGCCTACATTTCCTTCAATCACAAGCATATTTAAAGTTAACCTGACCTTAACCCCGAAGATAACCTCGATAAATATATATATATATATATATATCGGTCTAAACAGCACACAATGTGTCTTGCCTTTAACATGCCGAGACATGCTTTAAACCTTTTAACCCTCGTGACGTTCGTAAACTTCGAATATTTTCAGCTTAAATAAGCAGATGATTTTTGCTGACTATTACAAATAGATTATATCTCCCAAATTATCTTATGTAATAAAATGAGATATCTAAACTTTTGTTTACTTAACTTTTATATATCTGATAGATTTAAGAAAATTGTAAATAATGTAAAACTATCAATACAAAAATATTATTTATTACTCAGGTTAGAAATCTTCTGCTAATCTAAAACGAAATTTTCGAAAAGTATAATTGTAAAATTAAAAAGAAATTTAATATTTTTTATCACTTTTTAACATAATTATATTAAAATTGTGCAATTAATATAAAATATCAGATATGTCGAATTTTCTATATACCGGTTAAATTACCTGCCTTTTATTAATTTAGATACTAAACAAAGTTTAAAATTTTTTTTTTAAACGAGCTTTGAACACCACATTTAACGTAGTATCTTTTTTATGCAATACTATGCAGACACAGAAATTCTTTAGTTAAGCACTCACTAATCTCCGCACGTGCGACGATCGCACGCGTACGCGATTCTTTACGGATCTCTCTGTAGTATCTTTTACGGTCGGAAATTCGCAACGTCAACGGTGATATTCGTCGTGGATGATTCGTGCGAATCTATGCGAACACTAAGTGACTTTAACCGGTCGCAACAGCTTGGTAATTGCCGCAAATTGACCAGCGGACCCCAAATGTGCGCACAATGTGTATGTGGTAGAACTTGCGAATCGCGTATGTGAGCATTAGCCTACGGGAACTTTATGTATACAGACGTAAGTAAGTATTTGTATGCGTACTTCTACACGCTGAGAATGAATTTAAAGTGGAAAACAAGCAAATAGAAGAAAGTATGAATGTATTATTTAATAATCAGAAAAAATCTAAGTATGAATTAAACATTAAAATAAGCTTCTGAATTGAAATGTGTGATAAGATCCAATTGTCAGACAGTCAAATGACATTAGATTAAAACTAACATGATAGTTTTAATCTAATTTTCTTTTATGTCTGAACTGTTCGGATCTTTGGTTTGAGCTCTATATTTACGATCGTCAATATATTATAAATTATGTGCAAAAGTCAAATTAATTCAATAATTTTGTTTCTTCTTAATTTTTCTTACATTAATTCATAATAATTAATTCTATCATTCCGTTTTTGCAAGATTCAGCAAACTGACATTTATTGAAATAGCCTACATTTATTAGTTCACTCTTTCGATTGGACTTAATTCCAAAGGGAGCTTTAAAATAATGACTTAAAGTGCTGCACGCTTCTTAATTGAACACAATAAAGTTTTTGCGCACATAAATATCGTCACGAGACGTTAAAGAGCAATAAACGCCATCAAGATACAAGTCAATGTACTTGCGACTGCCTTCAAAAGCTTCAAAAAATATAATGAATATAAATTTAATAACGTAATAAATTTCCGTGTCCAAACTAAAACGTAGAACTCCGTAAAACGGAATCGAATTAAAATCGATGTAAATTTAATATCAAAGATTAAAAAATTCAATAATCAAAGTTTAAAGATGCCAACGTTTAAGTTTAAAGATGCCAATTTTACTGCAAGAA